ACCACGATCATGCAGGTCACAAGTCGTGTAGTGCTGGTTTGGCCGATCCTCCACACATGTGCAACTGTAAGTTTTTTCCTGAATTTTGAATTAATTTGATTAGTGTTTCATGCCAATTTCACTTTAACCGTCTAGTAACGTGGCTGAGTTCGCCACACGCAGTCTACACTGCTGGTAAAATAATTTAACGTTGCAAATGTCCGGTTGTGGTTTCCTCTTTAGTATGTAGAGCAGCGCGGCGCTCCGTTAGGCTGCGATCATGCTCTGCGTCAGGGTACGCCAGCGACCAGGAATGTGTGGATGTCGATTTAGCAAACGCAAGCGTATGCCAGCGACGGAAAGTATGGATATGGTCTAGCGAACGCCAGCGTTTTCGTGGGCAATTCGCTTGGCCAAAACTGCCCGCGGAAATGCTGTTGTACGCTTCGCCGGACTTACTGCATCCCTTGTAAAGGTCTATTCGATTCACGTTGATACTTTGCGGATGGGTAGAATCGAGAGATTACAGTCGAGTGTCGAATCGAGGATTAGCTGGACACCGTTCAACTCTAGTGAGTGTGCGAATTAGGGAACCCGGAGAATGAGCGAATTGGGAGAAGATGGGAATGATCTGGAAAACGGGCGTTCCCCTGAACTGTGCATTCTAGTGATTCCCTAGTAGTGTGTGAGTCAGCTGATACCAGCCAATTTCTTAGAATGTCGTTTTCCCCCTATTCGCGTGTTCTCCACATTCACAGAGTACGAACACTTTAACTCTATCATCCAGTCAAATATGAAACTTCAAGGCCTGTACGAAAATAATCAATAAGAAAAAGTTCATTGAATGGTTTGATCGTAACAGCCTAACCGCAGCAGTGGCGATCGTGGCACTCACCGGTTTACAAAATTCTTTCTGAATATTCCTTCCAGGCACGGGAAAGCGTTGGAGTTCCGATGCTTCTCTTGGCGTGGTCAATCACTGAGGTTGTGCGGTATTCGTTCTATGCTTTTACCCTCTTTAACGCAGTGCCATACTTCCTCACATGGATAAGGTAGAACGATTTCATTTTCACATTATTTGAGATTTTTATGTCTATGCTATCTCTTCATTTTATTTGTAACATTCTTTGTTTTGCTCAATATTCTCTAGAAAACTAATAGCGAAGCGTTCCTTTCTTGTGCTCTCCAAAAACGCAAGACGGGAGTTTTCATGAAGAGTATCATCATGGATCGGACCCAGTGAGATTTTGT